CTCTGATGCCCTCCCTCGCACCATCCCCCTGCTCTGATGCCCTCCCTCGCACCATCCCCTGCTCTGATGCCCTTCCCCCCACCATCCCCTGCTCTGATGCCCTTCCTCAAACCATCCCCTGCTCTGATGCCTTTCCTTTCACTGTCCCCCTCATCTGATGTCCTTTCTCTCAACTCACGCAAATCCCACACATCATTCAACACTCCCTGGCCAAAGCTAGAAGTCCAGCTCATAATTTATGTCCCCTCCTGTCCCTTCACTTTCCTCTTGTCTGTCTTCCCTGCCAGGCTGCAAGACCCTTGAGGACAGCAAGTATGGTTCCCAGTGATACCAGGGGGAGTGGAAGGCATTTTCAGGTGTGGTCACATGTCTCCTGGGAGATATTTCCTGAGGCTGTGGGTGGGGTGTGACTGTGATGTAGGTCTCCCCTGTCTAGAGCACCTCCTGTGCAGGCTGCCCAGGGTACTCCGGGCTCAGGAGTGCACCACCCATTCCTGCCTGCCCTCTCCAGCCTTTCCCAGGTCCCGCCTTCATTTAATCCAAAGAGGCTGGGAATAGCTCCCTTCCTAAGAAGAAGGAAACCTTCTCCCATCTTGTCCCCTCTGCCTGGAACCCTCTTCTGCACCCTACTCCTTCACTTGAATGACTCCCTAGATGTCACCTCCTCCAGAAAGCTACCCTGGGCTCTCCTAACAGGGGGTCTATCAGAGGTGGATGTATCCTGTTAAAGAAGTAAGATAGAAGTAAGATAGTTTAAAGCCAGCTAAGTCACACTCTTACTATGTGACTTTGAGCAAGTTACTTAACCTCTCTGTGCCTCAGTTACCTCTTGTATTAAATGGGAATAAAAATGGTAGAACTTGTTATGTGAAGTTGCTGTAATGAACCAAGGATTTAATATGTAGAAAGTGCTTTGCTTAATAAATATTAGCTATCATTTTTATCTTAATATTTAACAGTGTTTTGTTGAATGGCTTGCCTCTTGGCCTTCGAGGGCAGCTACTGTGTCTGTTTTGCTCACAGGAGTCTCTCCAGAGGTGATTATTCACAACTGTTGAATGAATGCATGGCCATGTTCCAGTGATTTATCACCCTGATAGGCAAATGACTTTTCTGAAATGAAAACCCAGCTCTCTGGACTCTATTTTCTATAATGGGCGAGGGGAGAATTCCCAGGGGCTCTTTCCTGAGGGAGGGGTAGGGAGACACAGCAGCAGCCAGTCAGCATCCTCACTGTGGCAGGAACAGGCCACACAGCTGTAAACACAGAACTCAACAGCTCTCTGCCTCAGCAGCCTTCTGTCTGGGTAACCCGGATAAATCTGGGTCATCCTGTGCCCCCTTCTGGCCTATCTCTGCCTAGTGTTCCAATCAAAAGGAACACATATTTGGTTCAAAAAGCTTTGAGAAATACCTGCCCTATATTTACTAAAAAGGAGAGAGCTTCCCTTTTCAAAACCCAAGCTTCCTGAAATTTAGGCATGCTTCTTCCCGGGGTTCCATTTGATCTGACAGCTGCTTCTCACCAATTTTCTCTGCTCCTTCCCAAACTCCAGCCCACCTTCCCCCACCTTGCTGGGGTCCCAGCTACCTAGAGTGTAGTCTAGAAGCAGGTAGAGATTTGGGGCACACATAACCCCATAGTCCTGCAAATTTGTCCCATTGAAAGAAATATGGCCCAATAAGGGCTTAAGCAGGGCCCCTAAAGTGCAGGCCCCTGTTTCCCAGAAAGAAGGATCTAAGGGATTAAGGGGCTGTGGCATCAACATGGCCTATCCCTGCCTCTTTGAGCTTCTTCTCTGCCTTAATTATCTCCATTGCTTGATCACGTTGGTCACTGATCATGTCGGTCACTGATCTCTGAACTCTGCCCAAGGGCCATTGGGGCCTATGCTGAGGGTTGGGAATGTTTGCTTCCCACACACTCTCTGCCAGGGTTCACTCATGCCTCCACTGCAGCTGTGGTCCTGGGGCCACCCCACCCCATGGCCTGGCTGGCCATCAGCTGTTGCTTTGGTTTTCCAAGGGGCAGGGCCATTTTGAATGGGACATTGTGATGCCAGGGAGTGAGGATCCCCTGGCATTAGGCTCAGCTGGATTTGGGGAGGTGTGGGCTGGAGTGGGCAGTAAGTAGCTGGGCCGATCCCATCACACCAGCCCTCACCGCCCAGGGGGCACTGAGGATCCTCCCAGTGCTGCTGGGGACTTTGCTTTCCTATCTTGTCATTCTTCCTCGGCCCTGACTTATCCCCAGTGCCTGGCTCTGCCCAGGTGCCCTGCTGCTCACAGACCTTTCATAGATCCCCAAGGCCCACAGAGGAAGTCCAGGCTCCCAACTTAGTCTTCCAAAGCTCTCTGGCTTCATCTCCTGCTCTTCTCCCTTTGCCTTGTACCAATCACCTGGGTTCTTCCAGAGGACCCTCCTTTGTCACTCCTCTCACACCTCCACCCTGCCTGGAATTCCTTCTATCTTCTTTCTGTTTTATTAGAGTCCCTTGAGTCTTCCTATTTATTTCATGTCATTTTTTGAGGCCACAGGAGCAGCACCTTTATCTAGAGTCTCTCTTTAACCATCCTCCTCCACCCCAGACAGCCCCATCTCCCTCCCTCTCCTCTGGTCCTCTCAGGTGGTCTCTCCCACTCACCACATGATCACAGCTGGCAGCTGACAGGCAGCCTCTGTTCCCTCTCAGTCCCTGGGCTGAGTCTGGTATCGTAACAGGTGCTTACACCAGCCCTATGAGGTAGGGACTATTGTTTCCCATTTTCTAGATGAAAAACTGAGGCGTAGAAAGAGAAAGAGATTTGTTCCAGGTGGCACACAGTGGTAATTCCACAAATTCAATCAACAAATATTTATTTTGCAACTCTGGAGCTAGTGTGCCTGGGTTCCAACTCTGATGCCACTACCTACCAGCTGTGTGAACTGAGGAAAGTCACTTGCCTTCTCTGTGTGTCAATTTCCTAATCTGTTAAAAGGAGAACAATGAAAGTACTATGTCATAGAGTTGTTGTGAGGATAAAGTGAGTTCATCTGGATAAACTGCATGTCTGTAGCAGGAGCTCAATACATGTCAACATGTTGTTCTTCCATGAGGGGGTCAGAGCTGCCTTGGTGGACAGGGCCTGTAAGTATTTCCTGAGAGCTGGCTCAGGCCACAGTCTGCCATTCCAGGGTAGACCAGCTGTGGGGATAAGGCACACTCACTTGCTGGAGAATTTGGTAAAGAAGAGGCTTTGGGTTCCAGCAGCTAATAGTGGGGTTGGCCCTGGCTGCAGACTGTCCCTGGGACTTGGTGAGTTGGTTCTGTGATAGGATTAGTGAACCCAACCCAGTTAGAGAAGTGTTCACCTTACTTAGCAGGGCCCTAACAAGACCCAAGGTGAGGGGCAAGATCAGGGCCAGGCTATGGCCCCACCACAGTACCCAGCATTGACCACCAGGGCACACACAGCCTTAGAATCCACCTGGTGTCATTCCTCACTGTATAGCTCTGGTGGTAGTCAGCCACCGGTGACAGGCAGCAGGGGCAGAGGGGTCGCTGCATGCTTGCAGTCTTGGCTTCTTCCAAACATGTTCTCAGGAGAGGCCTGGCCATCCATTTCAGGCCCAGTGGGAACATAGGTCCTGGAATTCCAATATCACAGCTGCAGATGGCAGTCTGGGCACATGACAGGCAAAAGCCCGGAGAGGGCAGGTTAGCATCCAAAGACACCAGCAAGGGTGGGAGTGGAACCCAGGGTTCCTACCATTCACTCTGGGGCCTTTCTCCCCTTCCTCTGTCCCCTTAACTTCCAAGCAGCCCTTCCTGAGAGGAGCCTCCCGCTACCCTCCCTCTCAGCCAGGACAAAATACCAGAGTACCATTTCAGTGTTTATTACAAATACAGGTAAATAATTGAGGGTCTAAAAAAATACATTAAAATAAATAATTGAGATTCTCAGATCTCTTAGAGTAAATAAGTTATATACAGACAGGGAAGCAGAGTAGGCCCTTCTCACCAGAAGTGTCCCAAGGGTAGGAGGGTACAAGGACACTGGTGTGTGTGTGGGGGGGTTGGAGCAGGCAGATAAGGCCGTCCAGGATGCCAGTTCTTGGGGGACCCATCTAGCCCCCTGAGTTGGCTTAGGCACAAGTGTCCACTGCTGCATGGTCGCCCCCAGTTTGTAGCCCAGGATGCAGCCTCCAGATTTAATGTGTTCCCACATTGTAAAGAGTTCTGGCTCTTTTCAGCAGGGTTGTGGGCCAGCAGCCAGTGCTGGGAGGCCCTCTGCAGTCTGGAGGGCTTTCCTGGGCAATGTGAGGCCACGAAACTGCCTTGAAGGAAGATCCCTCACCAAGACAAGGAGGGCAGAGCTTGTGCCAAGCCCAGCGAGTGGGTCCAGCTGGCTGGAACCAAGACCCTGGCCCAGGAGGCAGGCAGAGGGGGCTCCTATGAGCCCTGGGGGCTCTTCTCTTGTCACCCCACTGGCTTCTTTCCCAATGTTCCTCCAGCTCATAGCACTATCTCTTCCTCCACCTGGAGTGTGTGGGCCTGGGCTTCCTTGTTGCCTTGTGCTGTCGCTCAGCAAAGTGGATGTTGGCTGCAGAAATGTCCCTGGGAATAGAGAAAGGTCAGTTTAGCATCTCAGGAGACAGGAACTGTTGAAGAGCACCATGCGAGAGGAAGGGGCAAGGGGAACAGGAGCTCTTGCCCAGATCCAGGGCTCAGAGGGGACCATGGCCTGAAAACAAGGCCTGCACATCTAGAATAAGCCAGAGCAGGCCTAGAGGCTTCTCTGCTGATAGGGGCTTTAACAAAGCTGATGTTCAACATCACATGCGGCTGGAATGACCAGATGGCCAAGAACAGCCGCACATTATCACTGGTGATCTGTCCTTGGGTCCTGCCCTTCCATCCAGGTCGTGTACCTTCCCTCTGTCACCCAAACTCCGCCTACTGTAGTTCTATTCATTCTTCAAGGTCCAGCTCAAGGCAGCCCAGCCCAGACAGATATAAGTCCCTGCTGCCGTTTGAACTTGGCTGAGAACCTGGCTAGGACCCTGGTGTCATCTAGGCTGCCACTTTCTGGCTCAGAGAATTCTAGGCTGGGAGCTACGAGGCTGGCTTCAGATCCCAGCTGTGAGAATGTGGGCAGGGATCTCAGCCTCTCTGAGCCCCTTTCTTGGCCCGTAAAATAAAAACAGGCCCGGACTGCTGTGAGAATGAGTACAAAGTTGGCAGCAAGCTTTATATACTGTGAAGAGAGTTGTGCATTTGCAAAGTCTTATCCTGATTTTTTTCCTCCTCAGATAGTTCCCAAGTGGATGCTGGCTCCTGCCCATCCCACCATCCTGTCTTTTCTACTTTTCTGTTTCCTTCCAAAGATAAGAACCCCTGAAGAACAGAGCCCCATCCCTGGCCAGCCAAAAGAGCCCTCAGTGACAGAAGTAGGGACCTGGCTGACACCACTTGAGCTCCCAAGGGCACCAGGGCCCTCACAACCTACTTCATGTGTGCTAGCTCATCTAACTTTGCAACAACTCTGAGGATTGATAGCACTATTTTTCTGTTTCAAAAGAAGGAAACTGAAGCCCAGAGAGTTTTGGTACAAGCCCATGGTCACAAAGCTTAGTGGAGGCAGGACTGGCTTCAGATCAGGTGGTCTCTGCTACAGAGGCCTCTTCAGCTACTCTGCTGCCTGCCTGGATGCAAGTTTCTGTTCTGTTTGCAAATCTGTATGTTTGGATAAGCATCGTGCATACCTCCTGGGTGCCAATTCTTGAGCTGAGCCACACTGGGCCTATAGGGAGGAGGAGATTCCGTCTAGGCAGCTGGGAGGGACAGCAGGCTGGGCAATTGGCCCTCCAGACCCCCGTACCTGGGAGGTGCTCCATTTACACACAGCCTGAATGAACAACCATGTTCCTCCCCAGTCATGAGCCCTCAAACCCTCTACAAAGTCTAATTCCAGGTTGGTTGGTAAAATGTGCATACTGGTAAAGAGCTTAGACTCTGGGGTTAGCAAGATGTGCTGTGTGACTGTGGGGAAATGGCTTTACCTCTCTAAGCCTCAGTCCTGCCTCCCATGGAGAATAAGAGGAATGTACAAGGCATATAGGAGGTGCTCAATCTGTGCAAGTGTCCCTCACCTTAGCCTCTGGAAGAGCTCTCCTGCAGTGGCCCATGTCTTCCCAGTCTGGAACATGTCTGTAGGGGACTTGCTGCTTGAGACTTCCCCAGCTTCAACCCTGAATGAACAGCATTAGGGCCCAAGTGAGGGGCTGTCCAAGGCCCTGAAGCCACCTGGCTGCAGGCCCCGCCCAGCCCCCACCCCCCACCTGCCCTAGGCACAGATCCATTTCCATCCCCATGCACCTGGCATCCTTCCTTTCCCAGGTGGGGTGGAGACTACGGAAAACTGAGCTACCTGGAATGTGTTCTTAGTTCAGAAATAGTGAACTGGGTGGCCAGCCTTTCCCAGAATTCAGCCACCTGCAGCTGCAGGGGAAACTGAGGTAGGGGCAGAGACACAGCTTGAACCCCAAGGCAGGGGTTTCTCAGAAACCATTATGGGAACTGGAGCTTGGGATTTTGAAGCAGTTCCTGCTTCTCTGAATACTCCATGAGGAGGAAGGAAAACCCCCCACCCATTTTACAGATGAGAAAACTGAGACTCAAGGAAGTTTGGAGACTCAGCAATAACACTCCCAGCAACTCTATGACAACTTTGGGATGGTTCTCAGATGCTTCCCAATTGCAGATATTATTTCTCTTCCTTGAAAGTTTCAAAGTCTCTCAAGCCTCAAATCAGAATCCAAAGCCCAGAGGAACTTGACCAGACAGACCAAGGCTGAAGGCCCAGCCCTCATTCTGACTAGCTGAGTGGCCTGATAAGACAGGTCCTGTCCTTTCTCTGGGCCTGTACTGCCTCAGCTGTCACCTGGAGAGCCTCTCTCCTGCCCAGGATTAAGGGCATAAGTGCTCTCAGAAGCCCCCCAAGCTGAGCAGGGGAAGTGATTCGGGGGTGACCAGTTCCTCAAGTAGACCCTAGGACTCTGCTCACCCCTAACTAGCCACTCTGCTCCTCTGCTGGTCTCCCAGACTCTTCCTCCCAGGGGCAGGTCCAGCATAGCAACTACCCCTTGTCCCTGCAGGCTGAGTGCCCATTTACCTGGGCGTTTGATGGCAGAAGGTGGTACAGGTGGGGTCCCTGGTGCTGGAGCACTCACAGCGCCTTGGCAGGGAGCGGCGCCGGCGTCTTGGCGGATTTCCCAGGCCATAAGGAGCTGTCTGTCTGTGGGCAGGCAGCCAGCAAGGTAGTGATGTGGGGTGAAGGTGGGGGGAGAGAGAGAGAGAAGGTTAGAAAAGCCACAACCATTGGCAAGCAGGGACTGTATATACTACATACTAAGACATCCACACTAGGATGTCACCACCAGGATGGCACCAGCCCCTGACCTAAAGAAGTCCCACTAATAAAGTCACAGTCTCCCTCACAAGTGCCAGGTAGCCCTGGACAAAACCCTGCCCCTCTCTGGGTCCAGTTCAGGTCAGGGAGAGCTCCCAGCATGGGGAGGAAAAGGGTGGCACTTGTGGTCCCAGCCGAAGTCAAGAACTGGAGAGTCCTCCCAGACAGGACCTCAAGCTGATGGAGCCAGGCTGGTCCCCTGTTCTCAAAGAAGGCTTTCAGCTAGTTTCAGAGGGAGGGAGGATGCTCCATCTCACAGAATTAAACACACAGGCTCACAGCTAAGCCATCCCCACCTGGTCACCACTTGCCTAGAGGGAGAAACATTGCCTTAGAACATTGACTTAAAAATGTTTGTGTGTGTGTATGTTCAGGTGGTATTGATTTCAGACTCAGAGGCTGATCAAGGCAGGCCAAGGGAAGGGCTGGTCGGACCAGCACCTTCGGGTGACAGAGCTAATTTTAGACTGTGTGGTTGGAGTTGTAATGACTCCAGGTAGACCCAGCACGCAGGGACTGGCAGGGTTCCCGCCCTGAGAGAGTGTTTGGATGCGGATTAGCTCCACACACGCTTACGTGCCGGGTTTCTTTTGCCTTTTGCAATTTGGAGAAGAGAAAAAAAAAATCCACAAACACAGAAACTTCAGCTTAAGGTATGCAGTGGCCTGGAGGCAGTGCGGCTGCAGGATGCACAGACAGGGAACAAGGGCAGGTTTCTCACCTGTCATTTGGGGACAACAGCAATACCTGCCTCATGGGGAGTCTAAGGGGCTCAGGAGTGGATCATGCACATGCCATGCTTGGCATAGGGCCTGGCAGAGCCAAGACATGCTGTCATTAATTGCATTATTCTTAGAAGACCATGCAGAGGCAGCATGGCAGAGTGGGTGTGAGCTCTGGCATCCATGGTTTGAGCAGGGAGCCTACCACTCACTCCTTCCTGTGTAGTCTTAGGGAAGTCACTTAACTCCTTTGAGCCTCAGTCTCTGATCTGGAAAATGGAGCCAACACTTTCTTAACAGTTGTTGGAAGAATTCTCAAGTGACAACCCTCCATATGGCTCAGGTAGTCCCCACATGAGATTTGAAACAATAACGGCTAACTATGGATACAGCTGAGAGCTGGGCTGTGCCAGAGATTCCTCAGAAGGCAGTATCCTCCACCCTAACACGCCACCCCTAGCAGCCCCCACAGATGCTCACAGATGCCCACAGATGCTCACCCAGGAGTGTTCACCCAGATGATGTCCAGGTGGCAGAAATAGACGCACTCCTTGTCCAGCCAGGAGCTGCAGGAGCAACGGCGAGGCCGCAGGTGGGAGCCTCTACCGTGGGGTGGAGCAACCTGGCCTTGCCCTGCATGCACAGAAAGGAGAGAGAAGCAGAGGGGTGGGTTGGTGAGCATGGCACAGCCCAGGATGGGGGACCCGCCAGCCCTTCCTCTCGTGCCACTAAGGAAGTTGCCTCTCTCTTGCTGCTCAGGAGCTCCAGGCCAGCCCAGGGAAGCCCCAGCAGCCCCATGGGAGGGGCCAGTGGCTGTTCTGTGCTTGGGCACCTCTGCTCTTTGCAGAGCCCCTGCTGCCTGCCACTGCCACTGCCGGGCTCCCGCCCCTGTATGTCCCCAGCTGGCTTGGAGGCATTGCAGCCCTACAAGGAGACACCCACAGCCAGACCCAGGGGCTGTAGCAGTAGGTGAGGCCAGGGCGGCTCACCTTCATGCAGGGCCATGAGCAGGGCTACAGCGACTGAGCACCAGGCGGTGGGCACGGAGATCATAGTGGCGGTGGAGCGTGCAGCCTGGACTGGAGCAGTGAGTGCCTGTTGCCAGTGTCTTGCTGCTAAGCTGAGCAGGGAGCTCATTGCCTCGGTGCCCTGGCTGCCTCTTTTAACACCAGGCAGGGCCCCGCCCCTGCTGATCCAGCCCTGCCCCACCACCGGGTGGGCTGGAAGCCAGGGACACCGCCTCCTCTCCGGGTGCCTGGCTCACCCCAGTCTCCACAGGGAGGGGGGCAGGGGGAAGGAGGAGGACCTGCTCCTCCTCCCAGCCTAGAGCACCTCTGGGAGTCCCGAGGCTCCTTGCCATTCCCAGGGCCCCCTGCAGTCCTGCTGGACTTCCTTAAGTTGCTTCCAAAGTGCCCCAGCCCTCTCCCTACTCTGTGGTGGCCCCATAGGTCTTACCCAGAGCTGATAGTTTGGATGGGGAGGTCCCATGAGCAAAAACCATCCCCTTTTTAGAGGAGACCCTGCTGTGAGTCCTGCCTGCCCTTTGCCAACCAGGCTGAGGACATCCCTCTGTTGTGTGGGAGGCAGAAGGCCCACTCAAGGCTGGGTGGCCTTGGGCGAGTCAGAGCCCTCTCTGGACCTGCTTCCCTTGGTGAAGGACACAACTCATGCCTGACCTCTGACCAGCCAGAACTGTCTCATCTCCACCTCCCCCAGGAAATGCCCCTCCCACACAACCCAGGGCCTGGGGCTAGAATTCTGGTCCTTTTCAGAAGCTGTTCATTTATGCAGTCACAGCCAAGGACAGCCCTCTTGGGCCTCAGTTTCCTTATTTATAAAATATGGCTGAAACAGGGCAGGTGCTTAGCATGTTTGGCTTATAGTCCCCCTTGAGACTAAGAGGGGGCTTCAGAGCCCTTTCTGGAAAGATGCCCCTGTGGGCACATATACAAAGTGGCCCTTGCATGGTCTCCTGTCCTGGACATGACAAGATCTCTCAAGCTTTTCTCAGTGGCTACTGTGCAAAAAAGGCAAGGTGGTGGGGGGCTTTCTGGGGGTAGCGTTGTTTCCTGGCCCCTCTGCTGGCCAAGAAGCCTTACTGGAGAGGAGAGCAGGGATGCTCTGGGCGGCACTGATTAACACAGGGAAACTGCAGACACCCTTTTCTCCTGGCTGGGCTGGGCTCAGAGTCTACTTCCTACCAAAGTCTTCTCGGAGACTCGGTCTCTAGGCATGGCAGGAAAGGCCCTCTTGTTTCCTGGAATTCCCAAGGTCTATGCCTCATGTACTTGCCTGACTCATGACATTGGACTTATCTCCTCTGCAACCTCGAGGTCCAGAACTCCAGAGAGGCAGGCCCACGAGCCTGCCCCGCTTATAGCAGGGGCCCCGTGGGTGCTGTATGAGGGAGGGGGAGTGAAGTTATACACTCCTGCCCTTGAACTATGGAACCCAGGCTGCCTGAGGTTTAGTTCCTATATTCAGCAATTCATTTATCATTGGACATTTATGAAGGGAAAGATAGGTGACCACAAGAAACAGGCGATTTTGCTTCTTTCTGGGGTGTGTCCAGAGCAAGCATGCATGTATGAGATCCTGGAAACCATGGGCAGAACCAATGGAGGAAAATCTGGTCAGCATCATCCTCCTTCACTGAGGCTGGGCCAGGTGTGGTGGAAGCAGGCATAAGCATTTCCTGAGCACCTACTATGTGCTTGGAAGAACTTTCGACTCCTCCTCCCCTCATCCCCAGGAGGCAGCAGTTATCACTGGCGAGTCAGCTCTGTGATGTCCAGGAGAAGGTACACAGAGGAGCACGGCCCAGCTAGGGCCACACAGCCTGGCAGGGGCGGTGCTGGAGTTAGAACCCCGAGCTTTGTCTTTCAAGCAGACCACAGGGTGACTGGCCGTGCAATGCTCACTGCCCTCCCACATTGTGCCTCTCTAAGAATTTGGAGGAGTATTTCTGGAATGAGGTGAGCAATACTCCCAGTCATTTTGATTTGCCTCTGAGAGACTATAAACACAGAATTAAGTGGGGTCAGGGGTAGGGTGAATAGAGAACTCAGACCACTGGACCATGAAGAGAAGAAAGAAGGAAAAGCAGGTCAGCAGGGAGAAGGAGGGGTCAGGCTGGGGAGGAAAGCAAACAGGGAGGCAGATAAAGACAGGTAGAGAGTGCGAGAGAGAACAAGGAAGCAGTGCAGGTGAGAAAGAAAGGCCTCGGATTTGGGAGAGTAAAAGAGAAAGAGCGAAGGGAGAGAGGGAAGGTTCTAACGTGTCTAATCTTTACACAAATGCAAAATGCCTGCTTAGGACAATAGGGAACCAGAGGCTCTGAGTCTGGGAAACATAATAGAAGAATTAAATGGCCAGAGACAGGATCCCTCCCTAGTGTGAAAGAGGGGTGATGATGACGGCAGGGCAGGGGCCGCTGCCCTGGGCCTGCAGCGTCAAGGCAGGGAGCTGGGCCCAGCTCCAGTTTCCTCCCTTCCCTGGGCAAGCAGAGCTTCTGTGAAATGGAGAGGCTGGCCCAGGAACCTGAGCAAGCCCTGGTCTTAGGGGATGAAATCTTTCCGGGAACAGTGCTATACCACTGACCAGTTGGTTTCCAGGTAGAGAAAACTAAGCTGAGTTAAAAATAGCCAGCCCCAGAACCCCTAGGTCTCTTAGCTTGGACCCTGATAGCCCCTCCTAGCTGGTCTGGCTGCACACCCCTGCCCCCCATAACCATCCTTAAGTTGCCCTTTCTAGGTGGCTGTGCTGTAGGCCCCCTGGTCCTACTGTTCTGGCTTTGCCACCTGCCTGGGGTTACAGGGACGGGGCGGGGGGAATCCTTGGAAGCCCATCTTGTCAGAATTGGTGGGAATTGTTTCGTGCACAAAATGATTTGTTCTCCTTATGCTTGGAACCAGCCTCGTCCAAGAAGGAGAGACGTGTGTGGAGAGGAGGCTTGAAGAAGAGCAAGTGATTGTGTTTCTGGGGAAGACATTGGACTAGAAGCTGCCCTGCAGAAATCCTCCTGTCTCTACTCCCATTTGGCAGATGAGAAAACTGAGGTCCAAGAGGAAGAGCAACTCACTCAAGTCAGTGATAGGGCTACGCATGTTCTCCTGGCTCCTATCCAGGCCTGCCCTTTCCTGTACACCTGTAAAGCTCTCCTGGGGGTTCCAGCTGAGCCCAGGACTCTGGGTCCCCTTGTGAAAGGCTTTCAGGAAGGACCCCACTGGCAGGAAGGCTGGACTACTGGAATGCTGTTGGGCTGTCTCCCTGTGCACTTTCTATAACCCCAGCACTAGGAGTGCATATGGTCCCCTGAAGCAGCTGTCCAGTGGCTTTGATCACTATGCTGGATGGAAGATGCATTGGAGCGAAGAGTTAGTGTCCTGGTGATGTTGTCTGATGGGCAGGCATGGGCTGGAGCAGGGGCCTGGCATTGCAGTCGAGGCCTTGGACCAGGAGGGTTTGTCCCAACTCTGCTCTGCTATGTGGCCTTGGCCTAGTCTCATCCCTTCTCTGGCCTCAGGTGTCCTACCTTCCTACTGACTGTGGGAGAGACACTCCCTGCGCCTCCTGTCTGTGGCAATCAGAGTTTGCGGACCTGAGTTTAGAACTCCCCAGTAGAGGCACAGAACATCCTGTGGCTATTTCTCTTTTCCCCAGCTTGGGGCCGTCTACCCTTTTGCCTCTGGAGAACTTGTCATTTCCCCATGTGGTCTGGCTCCCCACGTTTCAGGAAGTTCTGTTTGCAGCCCCAATGGAAGGGACATTGTGTCTTGGTTGCCAGCAAATAGTGTGCAGGTGGCCTAGCAGAGCAAGTAGCTGGAAAGAGGGGCTGGCTGGTGGGGGGGTGGGCAGAGGAATGTCAGGAGCTTACAGGGGCTGGGGGGTGGGGAGGGTTTGGCCCCATAGCCAGCCTGGGCTGGGGCTTAGGGACTCAGGAGGTTCAGACATTCCCTTCACCACTTGTCCCAAAAGCTGTGGGTGGGGGCTGCCTCGACTAGGGCCTGGGGCTACTCAGCCTCAGGGCCTCTTTCTGGTGGGTGGTCTGGGCCTTCTGCCATCAGCCAGCAGCTCACCCTGAGCCAGCAAGGCCTGCCATCGCCCACGGCATTGTCCCCACACTGGGTCTCTGCAAGGACATCCTCAGCCTGCGGGACCAGCTCCCCTGGTTTCTGTGGCTCCCCTCAGAGGACACCCCCGTGTTGGTCCTCCTCCTTCCTCCACGCTCAGCCCCTTTGGAAAGATTTAAATCTCCCACATAAACTTCACTCTTAAAAGAATAATTCATGTGCCCTGTTTGTTATTAATCAAAGGGTAATGAGAACAGGGTCAGCAAGGCCTATGGAACTGCTGGAATTTCAGCCCAGAGCAGACATTGTTCAGCCAAGATACCCTCATCAGGAGGCCATGTGAATCCTGCTGGACTTTTTGAAATAAGAAAACTGACTCAGGGACTCAGCATCTAGGATGGAAATACCTGGACTCCAAGGTTTTGCGTTACCTCAGAAGTGCGAAGGGCCTTGTTTCTCACCTAGCCTTTTGGGGGTGTTTATTGAGTACCTAATATGCCAAGAGTTTTACATACATTAACTTCATTAATTTTCACAACATACCATGAGATAGGCACTGTCATTGGTCCCTACTTTATAAATGAGGAAACAGAGGCTCAGAGAGGGTGACTTGCCCAGTGTCAGGTAGAACCACAGTTAGAGAGCAGACCTGTGGGACTCCAGTGACCCAGCCCCAAGCCTTGTGGCCTCCAATGTGCTTTCCCAACTCTCCTGCCCTTGGGAGCCCTTCCATAGCAACTCTTCTCCTAGGGGCACCTCCTTGCTCTCATAGGCAGGGAGCCCTACCCAGCCTTTGAAAGTGGGGAGCCCAGGAACAGAGGCCTCTCACCCATGTCCGATGGGAGCCTTGTTCCCACACAGTCCATTCTTGTTTCACTAGATCCCCAAAATGGACCTGGGGAGGCAGGCTAGGTTCCTGATTCCTTACTGACAGAGGAAGCCCCAGAGGTAGTAACGTACTCAGTGTCACACAATGAATAC